GTGGACAAAGAACGAAAGGTGAGCAACTCTACCCGGCTGACAATGCTAACTGGCATACACTTCCAACAGACAGCTTGCTGTTTTCATTTTCGATTCTGGAAATAGATGGCACCTTGTGCTGTCTTATTTCGATAGACTAACTACATTGTTGCTACACGAGACAGTATGAAAGACCTTTTGAGACTCTCAGCATGTTCACGACTTTGGAATATTGCAATAGCTTCATACCTATCGTCGGTGGCGATACTAAGATTTCTGGGCCAGACGCGAAAGCTTTGTAGGGGGACCCGGAAGGGCCGAGAATAGGACTGGATGGGTCCCGTGACAGAACAAAGTTTAGGACAATTATGCGGCTCGTGAAAATGAAGAAGAGCGGTTAGCAGGAGTATTATGAACCTCAAAAAACGAATTTTCTCTACTATGGAGCCCATGGAACGGTGTGTGGGACCCCTAGTACGCATCTTAAATCCGGCTCTGTGCTTTCCATACATTCTGTAGTGTTTTTAATGAATATATTTCCCAATTAGATACCAAGAACCATATTTCATGCACAATGTTCAACATCACTATTTCCAGCTCACTCGTGAGATCCTAGCATTATTTTACTAGTTGTCGTTATGGAGCCTTGGACGGTGGAGCACCGCGTTTTCGCCTATGGCCTCGTCCTAACTGGCAGCAACCGTGCGAAGAGATTCGTACGAATAGTATTCGTACGAATTATCTTAGCATTCAATCAAGGAGGCTGGAACGGATGTGTCCTAATTAGAGGATTTCACCGTCCGGCGTCATCGCACGGATCGTCCGCACGAACGAGTTCGGTTTGATTCGGCATCGCATCGTGTTACTCGTACGGCCAGTCAAGTTCCAACCTGCGTTTTTCAAGTGTGGTGTCCTCATCAGAAATTTCGAATAAGCGACGAGTTGTGATCGTACGGGAGAAATCAAACAAGTTTGTTTTTCGTCATCCGAAGTTGGCTTAAATATTATGTCGTTCGAAGAGAATTTAATATTGGAGGTCCAGGCAAGACCACTATTGTGGAATAAACAAAATGAACACTATAAAAATCGGAATAAGGCTCACGAGGAGTGGGAGAAGATAACAAGATCGTTGGGAAAACCCAGTAAGTACATGATTTTTATTTCAATTTCTTTACAATTTATGCACAGGTTTGAACTTATAGATTTTTAAACTAAATCGGATACTAAGTTATTAGAAAAATATGCACAGAACTGCGCTCTTGCAGCAATAGCAGCCCTGGAAGGTCGATTGTTGTCGCGAGATGGAGTCAAATTATAGTGGGTACTGTTAGAAGTAACATTACTTTCTGCATTGAGTTGTGGCGCGAGACCTTCCTTATCTATTATAACATTATGCAAAACACAAATAGCTTTATCAATTGCGGTAGCATTGTTGACGGACGTCTCTATCGGCTTATTCAAAATTCGAAACTTGGCGGCAGCTATTCCAAAAGAGCATTCTACTGTTGCTCTAGAAGCAGATAATTTTTTATTGAATAAAGTTTTAACCTCGTCTCCATGTGATGTTCTTCGTGGAAATGGCCTCATGATAAAAGTGGTTAGCGGGAACGCTTCATCCGCCAAAAACACGTTCGAATTTCTAATTCGTTCTTCTGAAGGTAACTTATATGTACCGTCTACGAATTTTTTGAAAAATATGGAGTTACTCAACACACCTCCGTCGCTGTCTTTTCCGTATGCCCCCACGTCGACGATTCGGAATTTATAATCTGAATCAGACACAGTCAGGAGCACAATTGAAAAAAACCTTTATAGTTGTAAAACATGGTTCCTGATTTCCGTGGCTTTTTCACACGGATATGCTTTCCGTCGATGCTCCCACAGCAATGCGGAAATTTCCCCTTTTCACTGTATGAGGCAGCAATAGCTTTGAAATCTTCTGTACTGGGAAACTTCATGTGCTTGTTGTGTAACTTCTTCCAAATGGCTTTACAAACTTCGATCACGATGTTTGCAACCGCTGTTCTTGAAATCCTGTATGTGAACGAAATTTTTCGAAAAGAAATTCCAGTCACCAGAAACCTGGAAGAAAGAACACGAAACAGATATATAAATGACTCTATGCTTTATTCACTTTATATAAAATTAATTATTATTAGCATTGTGGCTGATTATAGGTTTTTTTACAGGAGAAGTGGTGAAGACCAAATGGAGAAATTTGAGGGATACTTTCCAAAAGGAACTGAAAAAAATTACTGTTCACTGTTCGGGTGATCCAGGTAGTCCAACTCTCACTAATTACACCGGGAAGTGGGTGTATTTCAACGATTTATGGTTCCTAAAAGACGTCATGAAACCTCGTGAAACTGAAGGCAACTGCCCTGAAGAGTCTCAAGAAAGTGAGGCGAACTCTGCAGAACAAGATATTCTACCAGAGGGATGAGAAACGCACAAACGCCCTCCTCGCAAGAGCATGGTACCCCATTTTGCGAGTCAGCACCACAGTTTACAAAGACAAACGGTTACATAACGCAGCCTACGGATACAGTAGAAATTCGCCAACTATTTGAACAATCCAGTGGCACATCTTCATCCCAGACTTTACTGGCATCACCACCATCACAGTCAAGAGTTACAAATGTTGATACTATTCTCCGACGTAATGAAAAACAACCAAATAAGAAAAGGAAACAATCGCCATCGGCGGCCGCCATTACGGGCTTCCAGAGGCAAATGTTGGAGGTCGAAGAAAAAAAAATCGCAGCTTTCAAAGAGAGAAGTAGAATGGTTGATGACGAGGATATGCTATTTGCTAAGTCCTTGGTTCCTTATCCGAAAACTCTTCACCCTATTCAAAAGCTGAGATTGAAAAGTAAAAATCAAAACCTAATTGCTGATGAAATGGCAGCATCGCCTGTTTCTGATCATAACATCGTTCTTTCCTCACACCGCTTTTCAGAATTCCAAGTTTCATCCGACTGTATTCAGCCTCGGGATAACCTCGACAATATCTCACGCGATGCCTCAATACCCATTAAAAATGCCTCTATCGCTATAGTCGATGATCAAACATTGTATTCTATTTAAGATTTCCAGCTACGTGTTTTTTGTTAACTTTTGTATTTTTTTAATAAACTTTACTACTTTCACTATATTTACTATTTACTGTAATATATTGATAAGAACTTACTGTATGGTTAACATCAGTCTTTCTTCCACGCTTATCGGTTGTTTAAAGTTGGTGACCTGGTGGGTGCATTCATCGCGTATTTCATTGCAGGTGTAATCGAACGTTGATTTGGACATTGCAGCATACTCGAAAAACAGTTCTTCGTCATCACACAGTTGGGGATAAAGATGATGAAATTCTCCATGCATGCAACGATCTTTCCATATAACCTTAGCAGATTGCCGTTTTCTGGGTGGGTTGGGAAACATCAATGATTGGAAATAAACATTCCGGGAAAACAAAAACGTGGCTTCATCTTCGCTGTCCATCTCGCAAATGAATGTAGAAGTTTTGTCGTACGAATGTCTAGTCCTCTCCTTGATACGTTCTTTTCGCAGGTAAATATGGACACCCAAAATGCTCGCGCGAAAGTCGGTTTCTTCGCGCGAATATTTCGTACGAATCTCTTTTTCCACGGATGCTGCCAGTTAGGACGAGGCATATGATTGTTTCGTCCGAAATAATGAGTCAGTCATCGTCGTACAGCGTGAGTTTCGTCGACACTTCAACATTCATCGGAATAGAGCTGTTCCCTCTCGAAACACCATCCTTCGTTGGGTTGAATCACTTCGCAGGCGTGGCGAACTGATCAACAGAAGACCAAGAGGAGCGCCGCGAACAGTTCGAACTCCTGAAAATGTTGAACGCGTTCGACAGGACTTTCTTCGCAGTCCGACTCGATCTGCCTGGAAACATGCTGCTGCACTTCGCCTTAGTGATCGTTCGGTAAGGTGAATTTTGCATATGGATCTCCGCTTTCACCTCTACAAATTGGCCATTGTGCAACAGTTACAGCCTGGGGATTATGCACAATGAATGAACTTCGCACGTGAGATGGAAGCACTGATCGATCAAAATAAGAACCTCATTTTGTTTATGAGTGACGAAGCCCACTTTCACCTAAACAGCATGGTTAACCAGCAGAATTGTCGTTATTGGGCTAATAAAAATCCGCAACAGTTGCACGAAAGACACAGCCCAAAAGTAACGGTTTGGTGCGCTGTATCGCAAACTTGCATCATTGGCCCTTACTTCTTCGAAGACGGTAATGGTCGTGATGTTACCGTGAACTCAGAGCGCTACGTCGACATGATCACCAACTTCTTTCTACCTGAATTACGATGGCGACGTATTCCAGTCCGACGTGTGTGGTTCCAGCAGGATGGAGCGACCGCCCACACAGCCCGAGCATCCATGGGCGTTATTCACCCTCTCTTCCCTGGTCGCCTTATTTCCAGGTTTGGCGATGTTCTTTGGCCTCCTCGGTCTCCAGATTTATCCACATGCGATTTTTTCTTATGGGGACACCTCAAGGCTAGAGTATACGAGAACAACCCCTGAACTCTGGACGAATTGAAGGGCGAAATTCGCGTGGAAGTCGCCCAAGTTGAGAGAGCGATGTTGGAGAGAGTATACGCGAACTTCCAAGAACGCCTCCAGCACTGCATCAACGATTTCGGCCACCACATGCCTGATGTGATTTTCCACACTTGACTGTCTCAAATGCTAATTCCTTGTGACCCTGATTCCATCAATAAATTTGTTTTCCAGTAAAAATTAACTATTTTATGATTTTTTTAAAACCGTCCATCCTCTCTGCCGCACCCTGCATTTTCTCACTGGGCAGATACAATTTTCCATCACGAAAATTTGCTAGACCTGTTTTCCAAAAAATGTATTTCGAAGAAATAATCCTAAACTACCGTATACCATTTTGGATGCGAAATAAAACAGGATTAGTTGCTAAAGATATAATCATGTGAAATATGCAAATAGCCATCATATGACGTACCTTGGGTAGTAGACGTTAAACCTATGTGCGGCGCCAGTCTCGGCTTCGTGACAAAGTTCTGAACGTTGCTAGTTTTCACTTTACCATTTGTGAGGTATATTTCCAACCATATCCTGTACCTAGTACCTGTAAATATTAATTTTAATGTTAATAAGTTTCTGTATTTCCCATTTTGTGACCTCGTTTAGATCAAATCTATAAGCGTATACAATAGACCGAAGATTTGAAAAGGTTAGCTAGAACATTTAAAGTTATTCCATAAAATATACCTGGTTTCAAATCCATTATGATCGTCTTAGAAGGTGAATCCCTCTTGGCGATCTTGAACGTACTGTGGTCCTCTTTTCCACTATCACTCTGATATATTGCTCTGTATATACTGACATATTTGTCCTCTGAAAAAAAAATAGTTGTAGCGAGTTATATTTAAGAAATCCTAAGCTGGACAGCTCAGAACATGAGGACAAGTTTTAAGAGAAAGCTCTGTAGCAAAGATTCAATACACTATTGTTGACACACGGTATATGTAGACCCTAACAAATCTTATAATTGTATTAAAAACAAGTATTTATACCTGGATATGGTACGCCTGACCAAGATATTTCGACGCTTTGGCTCTTAATTTGAGTAATCTCCAAAGTAACGTTAAAGCCATACGTGTCCACTTGATTCGCTGTCGTGAAATGCACCATGGTCTTTGCGTGAAGTTCAGTCAGTTGTCCTGAAAAAAATATAAAAATATTTTTAATGTTATGCTATTTGACAATAATTTTCATTACTTATTTAGAAAGAGATTTGTTCATATTTACCTGCGAACGGTATTAAGTCAATTCCCAGTTCGTATTTTGTGTTGGGCTTCAAGTTTTCCAAAGTATACGAAGTCACAGCTCTGTGGATCAGAGGAGTGGCAGCATATATTTTGCCATCAATTTCCTTGTATCTAAAAAAATAACGAGGAATTAATTATAAACTTTTTAACTTTTACTTCCTGCGCCTATTGGCCAGGAGATGTAATTGTGAAAAACTTTGAAAGTTAGATATTATGTTTTTTGTATGTTAAATGACATGTACATCACAAGAAACCATGTCCGTCATTTTCGTCGGTTTGTCGTTCGTATCTGTCCGCTAATCCTTGGCCCGTCTATGACTTAAAAAGTTTCGGTCGGATTTTGATGAAATTCTCACACAATGTTTCTATTATGCCAAGGACAAAAAAGCTTTGTAGTTTTTGAGAATCGGTGTAGTGACGGCGGAGCACAAAGCTAAAAACTAAAAAAATAAGAATCGGCCAAACTTCGTTTTTTGACGTTTCAAAGATTACTGATCATTTTCAGGAAAATGTTTGCAAGGTCCAAAAAATCGAGGTTGGGGTTGTAGGGGGTTTGTTGATGCCAGTATATTTATATGCTTCCAACACCGGTAATTGTGTTTAAAACGTTGATAGATATTTACAGGCGCCTCTAGTGTGTTTGTCGTGGGTTGCAGGTCTCCTTCCGTTGTGCATGGAGCCCCGCCTGCGTATGACTGCATCGCTTGCGTTCTCGATCTCGAGTTATAGCAGCGTTGCTACAGTTATTGCTCGTAGTAATTTTACAACCGCTTGGAATTATCATATATTATCGTACACAGTGCAGTAGCATGGACTTACCTGTCTGCTACAATTCAAAAGTGGCGGTTGGGAGAGGGGCGATGGGGGAGACGTAAAACGTAGTAGTATTTTAAGAATAGGCAATTAATTGGAAAAGGAGTAAATTCATATGCAGGCTGGATTGAGAATGATGGAATATGGGATTCATCGTACATATATCAACATCTGAGAGTAAAAAGGCTCATCCAGATAACCAACGTAGATTTAGCTATTATCGTACACGGTGTATCGTACATCGTACCGTATCGAAATTTACCATACAAAAACGATAATTATCGTACGTCTGGTAGGGCTGAGTTATAGTGTTATGGCTGGCGCTTATGGTTCATCATCGTTGTCAGGTTGTTATTTTCCGTAGGACAGGAAAGGAAGTTATACTGTTATCGAATGGGCGAGGACCAGAGACAGATAATTGTATGGGCCCGGTTAGCTGACTAGATCCATTTATTTTTTCTGTTATAAAATTTTTTCCTCGACTTGTATCGAACATCATCTTTTACACACTGATGATAGAGCGTTGCATGGGCAATGTAAACTCAACCTACTTGACGTCATTTTTTCTATTTATGATAAATAAAATTTTGCCATGTCAAAAGAAAATCATATATAGAATAAGATCCTTTTTTAGAAACGTATTTGGATCAGTAAGAGACCCATTTAATTGTCCAAGGATTCACTGCTTTGGGTCATATAATAATGAATGCATGGATCACACTGAGTCAGACTGCTTGATTCCATTTTTACACGATATCTGATTACCTTAGTTGTACTCCATCAATAAATTGAAGTTCGTATTCCGTGAACTTCCTCCAGCTTACTGTAACCCAAGTAGAATTGACATCCACTACAGATAGGTCTGGTTCTATAGGAATACTTGGAGGCAGAGTGGTTATCTGGATCTAGAAAATAGACATATATTGATAATCCTTCATGTTTGTCTGACGTCTAAGTGAAACCACATATGCTTGAATTACCTTTTACCTACACAACGTTTCCGCACCACGGTGACGTTTTTCAAACAAAGATTACAATTCTGATGACAGTATTTTTCATTTGAACTTGAAAAAGGCTAACGTGGTAGTGTCAGTAAGGAGTAATTCAAATATATGTGATCAAATCACCAACAAGGCGTTGAAGCTGCTCTCGCTGAAAGCCCTGACATATTTGGTGACAACAATCAATACGACGCTCAGAATCGAGTACGTCCCTGCTGGGTGGAAGACCGTTGAGGTCATCATGATTCCAAAGAAGGTGGGTTCGATATTTCCTCACGATTACCGTCCCATAAGTCTGCTGTCAGCTCCTAAGCTCGCCAAAAAGGTGATTTATCGTCACCTTGAGAATTTTTCGTCAAATCACCTTGTGATTCCTGACGTTCAATTCGGTTTTCGGTCTGAGCATAGCACCGAGCTACAGGCAGTCAGGCTGGTGGAACATGTAACCAGAGGGTTCACCCTCAGCATGAGTACTGGCATCTTACTTTTGGATGTCTCAAAAGCCTTTGACAAGGTGTGGCATGCGGGCCTTATAAACTAATCCAAAAGGGTTTTCCTTTTTGGATTTTAAAATTACTGAGATCCTTTCTTGAAAGAATGAAGTTTTGGATCAAAATTAACAACGTTTTGTCAACAACACGGCCAGTACGGGCCGCTGTTCCTCAGGGTTCGGTCCTAGGACCAATCCTTTATTCGCTTTTTATCCATGATGTCCTTGCCCCAGCAACTGTGAAGTCTACCTCTATGCTGACGACACTGCACTTGTCGTCCAGTCATGTACTAGTGATCTGGTTTACGCTGGGTTGCAGACTGCGGTGGAAGAAGTACTAGAGTGGGCGGAACGGTGGCTGATTAAAATTAATCATTCGAAAACGCAGGCTATTTATTGTACAAAAAAACGTCGCGGCCCCCCAGCAGAGGTCTCTGTAGACGGCAATCGTGTACCGTGGACAAATTCTGCCAAGTACGTCGGTGTCACCCTTGATAAAGGCATGACCTGGCAGAAACATACAGCAGCCTTGAAAACAAAATTGCAAATTGCGTTTCGGCAACTATATCCTTTGTTATGTAGATCCTCCAAATTGAGCTTGATAAACAATGTTCGCCTATATAAAATGATTATTAGGCCAGCCATTACTTATGCATGTGCGGCTTCGTGTTTTCTTGCCAAGACACATATGCAAAGTCTTCAAGTTCTTCAAAGTAGAACTTTGCGAACAATTTGCAACGTTCCATGGTATGTCTCAAACGAGACACTACACATAGACCTTGACATTCCGTTATAGTCAAGCGGAATCGCACAGCAACCCTCTGTTGCGCGATTCAGTGGACTACAGAGTGGAGCAAGTTCATAAACATTCAAGGCCACGTCTTGCACTGTAATTAAAAATTTGTTTAGTTCACCTCAAAATGAATTCGTGTACTAAGTCAAAAAGACTGAGTGTCTCCTCTTAACACTTCTGTTTTTCTTTGCTCTTCTCGTTTTTTTCCCTTTCTCTTTCTTTTTTTCCTTGACATTGTCTAGTTTCTGGGCAACGAGTACTGACAGATTCGACTAACGTACACTAGATAGTGACTAATGGGCAAAGGTCCTATGGACCGCCCAGACAAACAAATGAAGAATAGTATATATGTGATCATTTAGCGATTAGACAAACGTCGTGTATGAAAACCACAGGATAAGCTTCAAGTGATACATTATACAGTATGTCACCATTCAATCTACGAAGAGAGTGTATCTGACAACATTGTACAGATACTTCTAAATAGCGGTATCATATGATTATTTAATTGCATTTCAAAATCTCTTGTTTGGAATGTCCTGTACAAAGAAAATATATTCCACGCCGATTTCTTTACCTCTGTTGGTGTCTTGATCTTGTAAACCCTACTGGAAGGTGTAGTGTGCAGATCTCTCAATGTCACTGTAATCTTGACTTTGTATTCAGTATCTGGCTTAAGATCTAAGAGGTCAAATTCTAGAGATGCGGTAGCAATCAGGTCATTTGGTGGAGCGAATACCTGCAGCATCCATGTTGAGGGATCATTGGCGCTGAAACAAAATATTACAAAATAGAAAATATTTTTTAGGCCGTATAGTGGAAACCAGAAATAATACTAGTTTTTAATAGTGGCAGATCATTCTACGTAAATACTATTTCCTAATAATAAAATTAATAAGATATTGACATTTACAATTCATCAGAATAAATATCGACGCGCTTCTGGTTTCAAAATAAATGTTTTCCGGTACAGTCGAAATAATATAAAAGGCCGATGAACAGATAAAACATTGTAAATACTGAACTACAAAACAACATTTTTTTTGAACTTTAAACAATAAAAAACTAATTATTGCCATAAATCTCAGTGCCATTTAACATTTGACTAAAACGAAAATAATAGATGGTATGTATAAAAACAAAATCGTAACCATATATGGTCTCGAAACTAAAAAACTAAATTTTAAGTTTGAATCATACAAAACTAAAAAAAAAGTTGTTACAAATTCTCATTTATGGAGTTTCAAAATAGTAATTGTGGTATCCCTTTTCCTAAAATACGGTGGCCAACTATCTATATGTCTATATGTTGTTTTAAATTTTTTAACATCCCTACTTTTAGATTGTTGATTGTTGAATTGAAGCGTGGGACAGCAGCAAAATTACTGTCACCAATTTATAATGTTTGAGGCTTTTCTGTAGTATCTTATAGTTTTCAGAGTCCTCAATTCAGTGGTGTATATAGAACTCAAAGAGAGAAAATACAAATACTTATGTGTGCCTGCATTTTCGACCAAAGCCTATATCATTGGTAAACCGGGTGCGCAGATAACGGAAAGCTATATTTTTCCGTCCCAAATAAGGCTACACGTGACTTTTCCTGATGCCCATATTCAAAATTAAGGAGAGGCTGTCTAGATAAGTGGTAAACATGACAAATACACTTACGCCTACGATTTGTCAGCGCAATTTACGGTTGGACCCAATTTTAATTACAAACATACATTTCTCTTTTGTTACTAAGCTAAGCCGTGTAATATTTAAGCGTAAGACCCCAAAAGATTATTAAATTCGAGATGATATACATATTTAGAGAAAAGCTTTTGTTTTCATAAAGTTAATAATCACACTTTTAGCAGGCGCTCTCCGGAAATGAATGACAGCTGATTATCTAGTAATATCTGAAAATTCCCCATATCGGCACAAGACTCATAATTCTGACGGATTGGTCAACGCCAGGTAGACAGATTCGAATTTTGTTTTGATTTTTTTTCACGCTACAGATTCATTTTGAACTTGTTAACAGCTCATTTATTTAGAAAAGTTCATTTGCAAATAAAACACAACACGCCACAAACAAGTTTTTCTCGATTTATACTCGACCCATTATTGCCAACGTTTCACATTAACACACAAATGTCACTGATCAGCTGTTCACCTCAGTAGACGTCAAAGCGTGATGGACACTCGTGAAATAGGGTATATGTTTGAGATTCAAATACTTTCTAACCTGAAATTGGGTATTTGACCAATCGTCGTGTATTTGACATGATTGCCAGTTACCCTTAACGTCCGCAATCACATTCATTACATGAGGCGTTTTTGATGATTTTACAACCCTCTCTACCCCTGGTCAGATGTCAGATTGCTTTGTTATTTTTATTTATGACTACGAGCCCCTTCCCACTTCAGTTGGCCCAACTATTGAAATCTTAGTTTTTTTCTTATCAAACACAAATAATAAAAATGTAGCATTGTGTTATAGGTTTAAAATATTAACAATGAATATTTTGATAATATATAGTAGAAAACACCAACTTTATCACTCCCTAATCAAATTTGCAGCATAAAAATAACACATGTTGCAATTACAGCATATCAACCTATTTTCATTTCAATGCAAAATAAGTCTATAACGCATAGGTGGCTGTGAAAAATAAAAGCCATGACAATTGTTTTTATTAATCACAGCTGTCAGAATACGTTTAAAATAGTTTTGGGTAGTTAAGGTTTTCAAAATGGGTAGAGGAAAGGTTATTAGTGAGAAAATTCGGTTACTGATAATTAAATTTTTTAATTCTGGGAAATCAAACTCAGAAATTGCAACTTTATTAGACTTATAGCGGTACAGTATGAGAAATATTGTTAGAAGATATAACGTAACTGGTTCAGTTAATATTAAGCCACGATATGTGAAAAAAGTAATATCACAAATGCCGACCGAAGAGCATTAAGAAGAATAATCGTGAAAAACAGGCGTGCCAATTATTTACAATTAAGTGCTTTGAGGAGTGATGCTGTTGGAAGGAGAATTTCGAGGTCCACAACTCATAGAGAGGCCCACAAACAGGGATTTAGCACTTGCAAGGTAAGTTTTCGTATAAAAAAAGTGAAGTAAAAACCCTAAAGTTGGACAACTTGTTTATAGGCCAAAGAAAAGCCACTATTAACTCCATTGAAAAAGAAAAATCGGCTTAGATGGGCTAAAGAACATAGACAATGGACACCTCAACAATGGTGTGCAATACAATGGAGTGATGAGGCCCGATTCAAAGTTTGTGTTGGTGACAGTCGCAGTAGAGTTATTCGCAAAAAAATGAAGCATTCCATGTTGACTGTCTGAAGAGAAAAGTGAAATTCCCAGCATCCATTATGGTCTGGGGTAGTATGTCATCAAAAGGAGTAGGAAGACTTCATTTTATTGATGGAAATATTTGGCAATTTTAGAAGAATCGCTTTTACCAGGACATCCGGCCAAGATTTTGTGTTGCAGCAAGATGGTGCAGCGTACCATACCTCAAAAAGGCTATAAAATGGATGGAAGAAAATCATGTACCACTTTTAAAATGGGTTTCTAGCAGTCCAGATCTGTCACCTATTGAAACTTTGTGGCACGAGATGAAAAAGGTTCTACGACAACATCCTGCTCGTACAATCATCGAACTGAGACAAAAGCTTCAAGAAATATGGGATTGTTTTACACCAAATTTTTGCCAAAGCTTGGTTAACACTATGCCCCAAAGAATTTCAGCCATAATGAAAAATAAAGGTGATGTTACCCAATGATAATCTTTCAATTGTTGCTTTGTTAACTTCGCGCATTTATTCGCACATTGTTTATTTGTTCAGACGTTCTACTAGTTATAGGTCTAAGTGATTTCAAATATGTATTTTTTACGACTAGAGTGTATCTAAAATGTTTTTGAGAAAATAAATTGTTTTAGAAGTAAATAGTTTCGTCATGTTTAGTTTATAAAGGCATACTTTGGTACAAAAATTGAAGTGGGCCAACTGAAGTGGGAAGGGGCTAGTAGTTAAGAGTGTTTATCCTAATTCATATCATGAAGTCTAAGGCACGATCTGAAGACTGATTAGTGGAACCAAACATATCCACGCGATTTTCAGTAAAATCGTCTGATTCAACTTTACTCTGATTCACCCACTCTGACTTGTTGTCGCTTGCGTACAGAAGCTCGGTTTCTTGCCTTTGACCAGGCCTGCCGGGAAGGGAGGAGGTGTATCGTGGTCTTTTGTACTGCGAAAACTTTGCTCCTAGGGTGAAAGAGAAAACGATAAAATTTCAGCTTGTTGACTAAGTAGGCGAGTGTGTAAATAGTTCATTCCACGCTTGCTACAAGTGAGCATGAAGTGAACGACTGCTAGTTCCAAGTTGGCGTCTGGTTGGAAAACCTACATAACGTCACAAATTAGCGCTGAGACCAATAAACGAGCACAGAAAATTCATTTTTCTTACCCCAACAAATATATATATATATAAAAAAATCTTCTAACTTACTTTTTATCATGGGTGTATCTAACTTCGACCCTTCCATGTAAACCCACGATCACCCTAGGTACCATGAAGGCCAATCTCACGGTATGTGAATCTATGGCTTCCAAAGTGTGAACCACAATTTCATCTTGAGGTGCCTGTGGGTGTTGGAAACCGTTGAACGGATGACCATTTGGCAACATCCCGTTGATTCCGTGGTTATCTGGAAAATAACGTATAAAGTAAGGCTGAAGAAGACCTTCGACTCAACATCTGGATGCACTTGTCGCCTTATTCAAATAAAAGTTGTAGGTATAGGTATATAACTATTTCAACGTATCTTACAAGAATATGAACAAACCTATGCTGCATTTGCATGTTCACAAACAATATCTATCGTCACAACTATGTTGCCAAGTGGGATCGCAGTAATTTCCTTTTCCTTTTTAGAAAATTGTTTATTCATCAACACGTTAATCTTCCAAGGACTCTAAACCCTCCCTCGTAATTATTTCTAAGGCTTTGGATTCTCAGAATTTCAAAACGACGGAAAAGAAAATCCCATAATCTTTGGCAACAGTCCGAAAGGTGGAAACGTTGGAGCCTAAATACGGTGTTCGACACATATTTATAAGCAAAAGTGGCTACATGGGCTTGAAATAAAGAAGAAAATACAAATGAGTATTTTGATATTAATATGTTTTATTTATCCGTCTTCAAGGTGACATTTCGTTTCTTCCTTTTCAACTTCCTATAGACTTTAAACAGTCCCGTAACATGCTGAGATTGCGAAAAACCATCATTGCAATTTCAAGATGGCACCGCGCAAAGCCAGCAAAGCCCAGGACCGCCTTCCCGCTTCTAGAAGAATACAGCCTTCCAAAGCGACAAGCGAGCATGAAGTTCTCTGTCGTTATTTTAATATACCAGGCACGTCACCCTCATCCATCGTCCCGAAAACGCCAACATTTTTCTGAAAACGCGATAACCTATCCATAACTGTTGTCGTAAGATGATGTATGTTGGCATCAATATTCAGGGTGATTCACAAGTCGTGACCAAAAATGAAACAACATACACGGGACCGCATGTTAAGGGGGGTCTCCGTCAATTGGAACGAACTAAAATTTGGTATGTGGATTTACCTAAGTATTGTCCACATTCAAAAGTATTTACTTAAAATTAACGTGCAGCAGTGGCGGAGATACAGGGGATTAGTTGCATTATTTTTCCCATTAAAAATAGTACGCCACTGTTTTTTTTCTTTCAAAACGCGCAATCTTTCGAATTGTACCTTCAACTTGCTACAAATAATTACTCTTGTTTTTCTAGAGTGATTATTTTCGTAAAAATGAAACAAATTAATAAAAACCTTTGGGGTAGGTTGATGTCTGTTAGGAAATCTACGTTGAAACTCCCGAGAAGCCGCTAAATCATTTCAATGACAGAACCCGTACACAAAATAATACGGCGTCATCATTGCTAAATTCCGTTTCACAATACTCAAAAATGGAAAAAAGAATTACTTGATTTGACTTTTCAATAAAAAAAAAATGGTAGTAGTAACGATAACAACCATATAACACATAACTTTGCCAAACTATCTTCCAAGAAACGACAAGTTGGTATCAAGGCCTCCTATTTTAGTTTGAAACTAATTGTATCTCAGCTCTTCATGAATGATCTAACTTCTATTTTTATTTTTACGAAAACAGTGCGCTCCAAGGAAAAACACAAGAGTAAATATTTGTATCAAATTGAGGTAAAATTCGAAAAATAACACGTTTCGAAAAAAACAGTGGCGTACTATTTTATTTGAAAAAATAATGCAACTAACCCCTGTATCACCGCCAGTGGTGCAAGTTAATTTTAAGTAAATACTTTTGAATGTGGACAATACTTAGGTAAATCCACATACCAAATTTTAGTTCATTCAAGTTGACGGTTTTGAAGATATTAAAAAAATGTTTTTTATTTTTAAACTTCAACTCACCGTACCTTTTTAATGAAGCACTCGAGGAAATAATATTACATAGAAGATCCCCCTTAAAATGCGGTCCTGTGTATGATGTTTCATTTTTGGTCACGACTTGTGAATCATCCTGTATAATAGTGTGGTAAAATACAGAGATTAAAGATTGATATAGGCAGTCAAGTAAATATTTTCAATTATGCTGATTTATAAACTCAATATAGATAATAGTTACTTGAAATGCCCACCTATCATATCAGATTCTGGGCATAACCTATATGTTATTCGTAGATAAGTTTCGTATGTACTCGTATCTTTAACCTTTAACACTATGCAAAAATGTCTATGTTCATCTCGTGGCTCTATACTGGTCCTCGAAGCTGCTACTAGCTTAGAAATTAGTACTTCTTCAAACATTTGTGTTAATGTTAATCAAAGTCTTTCATATGTAATAGAAAAGCACAAAAATGTATTTAGTAGCTTAAGTAAAATAAAAAGCTCGTACAAAATTTCATTACAGTGTATTATGCCAACAGTATGCACTGAGTAATTTTAAAATTCGCCTCTCATTAATCCTATCCAATCTCCAGTATGGGTGGGTTTTTCGGAGGACTGTTGATAAAATATATTGTCATCACAATTGCCATTCATTCTTAGTGGCCGAAGCGTCGTCAGCAACAACAGTATTTCAAGCCTAAGTGGTTTTATTTAGCATCCGAACAAACATGGAGGAATAACAGCATGAAAACCTCAGGATAAGTTTTAGGCATATTTTGGGTTGGTATGCTGGGCCAAAGTTGGCTAATTTTTGATTTTCGCAGACTGTAAAGTATATTTTAATTTAGACTAGGTAGGACGAGCCAGTCAAGGATTTGTTTGTCTCTTAATTTCCATAGTCTGTAGTGAGAATCAAAGTGCACCTGACATGAGTCAATTTTTTGACATTCTGTCATTAAATTCGTATATTTAGTGTTATTTCTGGAAAGTGGGAGTGTTTGCAGATAATTGTGGTGTTGGACGATTTCAGGACAAGGTACTTCTTACATAATTTACCAAGAGCGGCACAAGTCTAAAGAAGGTAGATGTTTCCACCGGTAAGCGTTATTATTATATTGATACAACGCTGACAGTTTGGTAGCTATTAGTAGACAAATGAGTCAAAAGTATGCACTAAAACTATGCAATTTTGGCGATGAACAATGCAATGTAAACATATAGGCTCCTAATATATTCGAATTTGTTTGTATAATCTGCTGGGTTTTCTTTACACCAAATTGCATTTTCTGTGTTTACTGCTGAAGGAATCAATTCACAAGTCATTGTTCTGTATAATTAAAATAATCCTACAACGTACAAATGCTTCTTAGGATCATATTCGAAATTCCTAATAGCAAGTATACGTTATGATAGTCATTATTTAAATGCGTGATAAGTTTCATATAACATGGGAGTCAAAGCGACCTTAAAGTAAAATAAAATCTGACAACGCCGCAATGCCTGACGCAAATTACGACGGAACGCAGTGTAAATAAAGATGGAGTTTGTTATTTTTGGCACTTAGGTATTATTTCATTATTTGATAATGTACTCGTAAAATGCAAACAATTAAAAAAAAAAGGAACCACTAGCTGTCTCAGCGCTTCACCTGGTGTGTGAAAGTTTATTGAATGTATTAAAAAAATCCACTTATAAATATGGAACACAATTTTGATACATACATATTTTTCTTTTTAAAACCCACACTGCACTTTTTTTTGTATTTGAAGAAGGTGTTCAAAATGTCGTCCTCCACTTTCCACATAAGCTTCATTACGGCGAACCCAGTTTCTTCTTACACTAGGTCCTCGAAGTTGTCCAGTTATTATTTCAGCCGCATTAAATTTTTTTTCGCGAAGTTGTGCTTCAGTTGTTATTGGACCAGCCCGATAAACCATCCCTTTAAGTTCTATCCAACACCAGAAATCCATCGGATTGAGGTCAGGAGATTTTGCTGGCCATTTTCGAGAATCAGGAGCATTTGGACCAATCCAGCGATTTGGATAATGTTAATTCAAATACTGACAACTTTGTGGGTCACTCGAAAGGGCCAATTACCTGGTAGTCAAGAATATCCGTCCGAATATTTAATTTAAAACGTTGTTGGAAATGACCTTCACGAATGGTATTAGGATTTGCTTGGGCCTACGTATGAGTATTATGAAAATTTAATATCCCGTCTCGCGTAAAAGTATCTACATCCGTCGCTAGAATGTTTTTAAAAACATCCGGATTTACAATGTTTTTATGCAAAAACTGACAGAATGTTAGTCTGCGAGGATAGTCTTCTGGTAACAAGGCCTGCACTCGTTGTACATGGTAGGGATAAAGCAAATTGTTCCGTAGGATTCTATGGACTATAGTATGCGATAGTCCTACGCGGCGGCCTAATTCCCGAGTGCTGATATCTGCATTGTTTTCCACGATGTTTAAAATTTGTTCCTCCTGCTCTACAGTAACCTGTCTTTCACGAGTGCGACTATTAGTGGGCTGAACACTTCCTCTATCTCGAAGTCTTTGGTACACTTGCACAAATGTCCTCCGGTCTGGGTGTACCCGTTGGCGAAATCTGTCGCGAAAAATTTGACCTGCAAGATTTGAATTCTGACGAGCTTCACCGTAAACTAACAACATGTCGGAGAAGTCTTGATTCGAGAACATTGTAAATAAACACGACGACGTACGCGAACAAAAACAAAGCAATACGCCCGATGCCCGATAACTAACGACTGTTACCGTTTACGATCGATTGCCGGTAATTACCTAATTTAAAAAGATTGGATTAAAAAAATTAGTAAGATTGTGGTGATTGTGGTCGATATAAAGCACTTTACGATCTATTGACTTTACTTGCTGAAAAGCATTATATGTATTTATTTTTATGTTGCTTATAACTAGGTTCTAGCGAGAACTGGCGGACATGTTTTCGTATATTTGGACCATAGGTCATATGAACTTTTTGACTTGACTTGACCCCTCCTATTACCCATTTCAATAATGACTACCATAACGTTTACACCCTGTATAGTGCGTATTTAGGTATGCAGGAGATATCAACGGTAGATGAATGAAGAAAACTTTATTATTTATTATTGTTTTACACTGTAGTGACTGACTCATGTTTTACTTATAGCATTTGCTTTTGTTGGAACTGGCGTTGCACTTTGCATATTTTACGATCTGACAAAACCAGATTATACATGGTTTCCTAACTG